AACAACAACAACAACAACAACACCCGCAGCAGCAGCAGCAGCAGCAGCAGCAGCAGCAGCAGCAGCAGCCGCAGCCGCAGCCGCAGCCGCAGCCGCAGCCGCAGCCGCAGCCACAGCAACAGCAACAGCAACAGCAACAGCAACAACAACAACAACAACAACAAATTCAACATCAACAACAACAAACATAATTTAACACCTGCAACAGCAGCAACAGCAACAGCGACAGCGACAGCGACAGTGACAGCGACAGCGCCGGCAGCAGCAGCAGCAATGCCACCTCCAACAACGACAACAATCACCACAACAGCAATACCACAAACAGCACGACTAGCAGCAGCAACAGCAACCTATATTATCTTTGCTTACGTTTGTGCCCTCCTTACAACCAGCAATAACAAGAACAATCCTTGCCAGCAACCATCCTCCCCCTCATCCTTTCTCATCACCATTAACAACAGCATCACCGCCATGATCAGCACCACCAACAGCATTGTTGTTGCTGGGGCCTCATCATCATCGTCGTCATCATCATGATCACCATCATCATCATGACAACGATCTTCATCATCATTGCTATCTTTATCATCGCAATCATCATTATCATCGTCATCATATTCGTCCTCGTCTGAGATTCTGGTTGTCCCTGATTCATCGTGATCTTCATCTTCATCCCAAGCTTCCTGTTCTCGTCAAATGAAGCTCCATGTTCACCTTCATCACCACCTCCGCTTCATCTCAATCCTCATCCAATCGTATTCGGGCTCCTATCCTCAAATTGCTCGTTCTTGACTCTGTCATCGCAGTTGAGCCCTTGAGTCTACATGGCTTGGCGGGTATCCTCGACCCACGAGTGCAAGGCCCATCAGTGCACCACCGGCCAAGCTGGAGGCGGACCTGCAAAGACACATCCCAGAAAGTCTTTGAGCTACGGACGCAGGGTCACTGTGCAGGGTTTCGGTTCGACTCTTGCGGGAGCTTGACCAGCCGGCCCTAAGAAAAGCACTACTGCAGGCCAGTTTGGCCTGTGGCAGCCGAAGCATGACAGCCTGCTGAAGCCACAACATCCGAAAGATCCCACAAGCCTGAAATCCATAAGCCAGCCTAAAGTCCCCCGAGGAGCTCGATGACGCCGAGGCCCTGGCACCTCGCAGGTAAGGTGCCTACTTTGTAAAAGTGGCCCTCGCTGTCTGCAGAGCGAATTCCATGAATCCTCGCCATGCAGCTCTCTCGGGTTTAGGGTTTAGGGTTTAGGGTTCGTGAAGCGTTGGCATGTGGGTGAGCCAGGAGGCCGTTATGCAAACTCAGAGAAATATAACTAGGAAAAGACGAAAAAGAGCTGTTTGACAATGTTAACATTAACAAAAACGAACTGACACGAAAAATCATACATACCTACAAACAGACATACTTGCATACCTACCTACATACATACATACATACATACATACATACGTACATACATACATACATACATACATACATACATACGCACACACACACACAGAGAAGCAGGCACACATGCATGCGTACATACATTACTGTGTACAAATTAAACAAACATATAAGTAAAGAAACACATACATGAAGCAACTAATATATATATATATATATGTATATCTTTACATATACATGTGTGTATATATGTATATATATAGATGTATAGATTATGTGTGTGTGTGTACATAGCTGTGTATGCATGAAGGCATATATATATATACACACACATGCACACATGAGTGCGAAACTATATATAATCTGCAATAGTTGGTATGTATGCAGGCCTGGAGTGCTAGGTGCCGACGGCAGGCTGGCACCAGGAACGAATGCCGGTGCCTGGAGGACAGCCGTCCAAGCAAAATTGACACCAACACCCTCAACATGATGCAAAAGGCTGTACTCACTCTTGAAACAGTCAAAACGTACTTGCGACTCTTGCACGGGATGTCGAATGCGTTGAAAGGCTAGACTTGCGCGCGAGCGAATCACCACCGCAATACGAGATGCTTAAACAACATGAGGGTGCCAATTCACTACTATGCCTAGAATCATGCACTGCGATAATGCTCTAGCAGCAAGAAGTCAATAGCCGTGAGCATTTCACCGTTCGTGACTAAACCGCTGTGCCTACTTTGTTGTTGAAAACGTCCGCATCGCAGTCGGTAAGCAAGCATTGCTGCTGTATTCTTGAACCGATGGTGACACGCTCCGCTGTTCCACTCGATTTGCTTGCATGTTGCACATAGTATGTGTATACTATATATATATATATATAGATGTATATACTAACCCCGCAAAGAACTACCGCGAGGTGCGCAATAGCGCCACCAATCCTCCTACGTAACCAAAAACAACATCTTTCGGGAAAAAATGGTGAAATGTGAGTTTGGTTTTGGCAGTCTTTCAGAGATACGGTATCCGGACCTGCCGGAAAAGCTGGTTTGACACTGCATTTACGATACAAATCGAGGGTCGGTAGTTCATGGGGGGTTACCATATATATATATATATATGTATGTATGTATGTATGTATCTCTATATATATATAGTTTGTGTGGGAGGGAGGGTCCTTACACCCTCCTGGACTTTCTTGAGTTGAGGATGCTTATTCATGCAGCTGCTGCCAAACTCAACCCAAGTCCCGAAACCCTAAACCCTGGACGCAAAAAACGCTCAATCCTAAGCCCTAAACCCAGAACTGTAAAATCTAAATCCTAAGCCCGAATTACTACGGGCCATTTTATCTTCTTGTTATGAAGGCTGAATAGCAGGGAAGCCCCAGACCCCGGAGACCCGGCGACCTGAAAGAAAGCTTGGGCCCCTTAGCTCTACGTGTAGCCCGAGAAACATATCGTTCGAGGGTTTATATATAAACAGTTTAGGGTTTAGGGTTCGGTTTTTTTCGTGCTACAGGTAGTCCTATGTGCCCTATGCCTAGAGGGTCATGCCTTGTTTTGTAGCTAGTTTCTGCTATATAGAAAAAGTAGATGCCCCAAATACAGGGGTAGGGTATGACGATTGACTACCTGGACTGGGCCTTAAAGACTTTAGGGTTCCCACTTTTGATTTTAAAACGTCTTCAAAAAGGTAGGTTGTTTGAAGTAAGTGCTCCCGACTGTCCTCAGCCTTGTTGTAGGATCCCGCTACAGTAGCCGCCACACCTTACACCCTGCACAGGGTTAGGAGTTTGGGGTTCGGGGTTTGGCATTTGGGGCTGAAAGGATTAGGGTTTGGGATTAGGGTTTAGGGTTTTGGGTCCCGGTACCATCCTGCATGAGGAGAAGCCAAACCCCATCTTCAACGTCTTGGGCGATGTCGCCTTCCCTTTGCTTCTGATTGCTGGTGCCTGGGCCTGTGATTTTGCGATGACTCGTTGCTGCTGTGGTGTCGCTGCTGATTTCTTGGCCACTGGCATGGTAATGACTGCTTGCTATCAAGGGTGTTGCTAAACTTCATCGTTGCTCAAGCCACAACCTTTGGTGCGATTCACTGCTGCCAAGTACCTAGTGTGTCTAATGACGCATTGCCTGACGTTACGGCTCGTGGGCGCTGGGTTTTGTCTGGCGTTTTCTTGTCGGGAGGTGATGATCGCATAGGGGGGTTATGGTTTCTTTCTGTTTGGATCTGCAAACACTGTGTGTTTTGCTTATCTTCTCAGGACAGTAGAGAAGCTTTGCTGCCCAAGCCAAAACCAGTAAGTTCTGAATCCAACAAGAACTACTAATTTCTCTGCCGTAAGAAAACCCAAGCCCCGTTCAAGCCCTGAACCTTAAAACCACAAGCCCAAAACTCCAAAACCCTCGACCCTGGACTGCCCTGGATCCCAACACCGCTTGAGCCTTACGTGCATCTCCATCCCCAAGCCAAGAGCACCTTTTGGCCTTACACTCCAAGCGCTGGTCTCTGACCCAATATTCTGAACAGGCCATCCCCTTTCCTCATCCCAAACAGTTTCCCTATAGTTTCGTGTTTCTGCGGTTTAGGCTTAGGGCTCAGTGTTAGGATTTACGGATGAGTGCGATTCCAGCTGACATTTTCACAGCGATTTCCATCTCGAGGCAATATCTTAAAACTTTTCAAAGACCCTAAACCTTACCTTACTTTATCGTAGGGTATTCTTATATAGACCTTATTATGAAATTTACAGGGACCCCAAACCCTAACTTGCATAAACCCTGGAAGCTCAACTGTGCAGAAGAATAGCCCTTTCTAGATTTTGGGTGCCATCATTTTGCTTACTTGTGGGGGTTCAGGTACACCTTGAGCTCCGACGATCCAGGACCCATGCAGAACCTGAAAGAAACCCCCTTCAAGGAAACCTCAGTGTAGGTGTATATATATATATATATATATCAAAACCATTAGCCTCCTTTCAACCGGCCAAAGGTACAGTAACCTTTGAGGAAAGGAAGCCCTAATAACCCAAACCCCCCCAATTGCCAGACCTTCCAACATCTTTTAACTAAGGAAATTACACAAGGATCCCCTAGATGGTTTAAGGTATATTCCGATGTAATTTTCAATCAAGGGATGTTGGAAGGTCTGTGTATCTGAGGACAAAGGACTTGACAAGGGTCGAATAAGCCCTAGATTGAGGGAAGTATAGTACCCAATCCCCCCTAGGGTCCCTATGAGGGTATCTGAGGCCTCCTCTTTCTTCGCTCCCGTGCCCCCGGGGGTGGCGGTATTCCTGGCTTCGGCAATCAGGGCCAGGCGAAGATCATGCGCCTTGGCTCAAAGGGTGGCTTTACGGCCTAAGATATCTAAACTTTACATTCAGGGTTTGGGGTTTAGAGCTTTGGGTTTCGGGGGTTTAGTGATTTGCCGCAATTGGGGACAGAAGCAACTCAAGCTATATGTACGAGCCTGTTTATATCTCTGCTAGGGGTTTGGTAGGCTCCATGCTGCCCTAGACCTTAAACCCTAAACCGTAATGCAGTCTGCCAGGTTCCAGACTTGACCTCAAGCCTGAAGTCCCAAACCTCCCGTGCGTTTCATGAACCTGCGGCGCTAGGAGCCAAAAAGGTGCCCGAAGCCCCAAAGTCCCTCATGCCCAAATTCACAATGGAGGTTTTGCTGGGTCGCGTGTGGAACCCTAAACCCTAAACCCTAAACCGTCTTGAAGGGTTATGGGCTTTGTGCAGGTTCTGCAGGGTTTAGAGTCGGCGGCCCCAAGAAGTGGGACGAAGGTCGGTAGGATAATCTAGGGGCCTTAATCATTAGACTAGGGTTCTGGGCCCACTATACTTTACTTATAATAAGGAGCCTCCAAATAGTATTGGTGATTATTTAGGCCCCTATATTAAAGGATTCCAGATAAGGTTTAAGCCAGACGTAAGGACTGGTTTTTTTGGGGGAATATCCCACGTATTTTCGGAGCCCTTGGACAGAGTTTCGCCTTTTTTGTTTCTGCGGCTGTCGGGGAGATAACTTCCACCCTGAGCCTTAATCCTTAAATCCTATATGAAAGCTTAAACCCCAAACCCTGAATCTTAAACCCTGTATACATTCCTAGACCCTCCAACTACCTTCTAATGTACCCTAAATACCCACTTAAGGACCATAAGGGCTCCATTAAAGGGCCCTTGGGGGTCCTGGTTACCCCGCAGCCTAAGGATCACTCCCGAGACCGGCGTGAAGTTTGAAGACGTCGCTGGAATCGACGAGGCACAGAGTTCCACCAGAGACCTGAACAGCTACGCATCATATTATCCAGGGTTCCTACTATCTATGTATGTAGTATATATATATATATATACACACACACATGCGTACTCATAACAGTGCACATCCCGTGGTCGGAATCGCAGAGTTTGAAGCGCCCAACAAGGCCAAGGAGGAGCTCATGGAGATCGTGGATTTTCTGAAAGCGCCAGAGAGGTTCGTGAAGGCACCTTTCAGGGCTTCTGAGCTTTTCAGTTTTTTTGGGTGGGCAGTATGGAAGCCTGAACACTATATAGCTCGCATTACGATTCCTTAGGCGTTCCAAAGCCCTAGTCTAACTATCAAGACCCTGACTTTAAGGGTTTGCGGTTTAGGAACCCTAAACCCTCAACCCTCAGGGTTTAAGGGTGTTCAGGGTGTTGAGGTCTACAGTCTCCTCAAGCCTAACCCCCGAACTGAACAAACCATTGAACCCCTGAGCCCCAAGCCCAACCCCCCCCCCAAACCTTCTAAGGCCCTAAACCCGGAAGCTTTGCACCACAAAACTCTTCAACCCTTGAAGCCTAAGCTACGCCCTAATACCAACCCCAAACATGAGCAAGGTGGGCGCGAAGATCCCTCGCGGCGTGCTGCTGACGGGCCCACCGGGCACCGGTAAGACGTTGATGGCCAAGGCCTCCCGCGGATTCGCGTATTATCAGGCTCCGTTGTTTTAGGGTTGATAGGGCGCTAATCCCTCAACCCTATAACCCTCAACATTCTTTGTCTGAAGTTGAGAGATGTAGCAGCAGTAGCTTAGGCACGTTGTAGGGGTTACGGATCGGAATTTATGGGCAGCTTTGTCGGGTTTTATGGGGGTTGCTTCTTTTGGCGGAGTATATATTGGGGCTTGTGGGGCTTAATTATAGCGTTCTACGCTTTGGGGTTCAGGGTTTGAGGCCCGTGGGTTGTGGGGCTTGTGTCTATGATAGCGTGGGTGTAGGGATTAGGATATCTTTGAGGCTCGATCTTGGTTCCTTGTTTATTTGTTTTTCATCTTTGGAATCATATCCCCTAAACCCTAAACCCTAACCCTTAGCATCAAAATAGCCCAAAAGCCTTTGGGCCAAACGAAGAAGGAGCTCCAGAACTATATGCTTTGCTTACCTTGTGCGGGGAGCTGCGAATTTCGATCGGTCTAAACCCTGGTCCCTGGGTAGTGTTGAGGGACAAGCGGGGGATCCGTCTTTGGGATTTTCGAGTATTTTTCGGTGCTTTAGACTACTGCTTTGGATTTACATAAAGCTTTGGACTGACTAGGTTTTGCAGTGTAGGGGGTCGTGATGGACTTGAAGGCTTGAGTTTAGGATTCAGAGTGTCAGGCTAGGGATAAAGCTCAGGATTCATGATTTGGGTCCAGGGTTTCCGCGCAAGCCCGATCCTGGTGTCTCGCTATCTCATCTGCCTATTGTCGGATCCTGACATAACTTTCCATGGAGGATAGTGATGTTTGGGGGGTCTCAGTACCGTGAACCTCTAAGGCTTGCAGGCTTTTTTTTGGTCTTTTGGGTTATGGAGTTATGGTTCTGTTATCGGGATCTCCAAGATGTGTTGCTTACCTTCTAAGGGGACTGGGGCAAACCTTCTCAGCCCGCAAGCTCCGCCAGTTCCCTGCTGCACAGGCTTTGGCGGGTGAGTCCGGAGTGCCTTTCATTCAGCCTGCCGGCATCACATACGTTAAACCCTAAACCCTTACCTCAAACCCGTATCCCCGAAGCCCTCTAACCCCAAAGCCCTAACAACCCTACACATCACAACCCGAAGCCCTGAGGTCACCTGGTTTAGGCTCCCTATATGGTCACCCGTACAGTTGCTAGGGGTTTTGTGGGCTCAAAATGTTCAGGTTCAGAACTCATGGTTTGCTTGTAGGGCCTTCTAGGGGTGTGGTTCTGCAAGGAGTTTCGGGCTTGACGGCCCAGGTTAAGAATTCACGGCTTGTTACGACGGGTTTTTTGGAGCTTACTTGGCATCGCTCCTGCGGTATCGCGGGCTTAAAGCAGAGTGAGTCTTTGCTGGCTTTGCCAAACGGTGTAGGGTTTGGGATTCATGGTCTTTGAGGATCTTTGAGGGCGAGGCAGGAAAGCTCGGGTTTGGGGTGGAGACTTCGAGAAGGTGTTGCTTATACTCTGAAGAGCTTAAGGATCTATTGGAGTTCGTCTTGCAACAAGCAGGCCCTGAAAACATGATGCGAGGTCCTCTGCTTCGGAGTTCATCGAACTCTTCGTCGGAGTGGGCGCCTCGCGCGTGCGCGACATCTTTAAGCAGGCCAAGGAGACGCTCTGCGAATCTACATTTATAGGGTGTAGGGTTGCGGGTCAGGGTGTTGGTTCTGGGAATATTTTGTCAGCGGTTTCTTGGCTTCTTTGGGTTTAGCAGGGAGGGAGAAGAGAGCTCAAGCCCAGATTTGCGCGCAGGCTGTGGAAACGTCCAAGTCCCAATCCAGTCCGCAAGCCAACACACTAAATCTAGGACATTTTCAGGTGGGCAGCTACCGTTGTAGGAGCCTTATAGAAGTCCACATACCTTATAGAAGCCTTATAGAACCCCTACATACCCTAAATTTCCATGTGTAGTTTCCTTTAACTAATCCGCAACAGCCCAATCCCTGTACTTGTGTTCAAGTCTTGCTTACTGTGGTTGTGTTGTTTTGCTCTCTTCGTTTATAAAGTGTTTGGGGTATCTGCAAATGATACAGTATTCTTTGCGGACTTTCAAAGGGGAGTGGAGTTAGGGCTCTTTGGGAAGAGCTCACAAACCCTAAATTCTATAGACCGCAAAAAACCTAAACCCCAATAACCCTGAAACCCTAAAGCTCTAAACCCAAAACAAGAGACCGAGGAAGGCGCCCTGCATCGTCTTCATCGATGAGATTGCCACTGGGACATGCACTTGCCCAAAGGGTCGTGCAATAGTGCTTCCTGGGTACGCAATGGCTCCACAACGGGGTTCCCTTGGGGGGAGCCCAGTCCGTCCGAAATCATAATGGTTGTTCCTATTCTGGAAACCCTACAGTGTACTCTGTATAGGTACTGAAGACCCTGCGGCACTTAGGAACCCTTAGGCATTAGCGTGTCGAGAGGGTGTAGGGTTTGGAGCCTTAGGGTTTATTGTTCAGACCCGTGTAGTGTTTTGCCTTTCCCCATCCAGTTGAACTTCAAAAACCCTTGTACAGGACTTGAACCAATTCCGACATGATTCCTTGGAGTTCTTTTTACTCAATAGAATCGAACGTTATCTGCACCAAAGCCCTGCTCGTGGAGTTGTATAGACTCCCGTCACCTGCTTTGGAGTCATTCGATGTTCTGACCCAGAGACTTTGCAGCCCTGTTCTATGGATAAAAGTCTCTACATCAACCCTGAACCCTCGGTTTAGGGCCTAGGGCCTAGGGTTAAATTGAATCCGCTTCCAAACCCAAGTGCTTATCCATGGAGTACTTTGGCCCCTCACTTGCAAAGCCCTGATACGACCCCTAACTTTCTGAGCACACCCCAAGTCCCTAAACGGCCCTAAACTCTAAACCCTGAACCCTCAAGCCCCAAACTTAACCCCCAAGCTGTTATTATGCTATACCCCTAAATTTCGAACTCCCAAAGCCCTAACGGTTTAAGGATGCCATCGGAAGACAGCGCGGTGCCGGCATGGGCGGTGGCAATGACGAGCGAGCCCCTGGGCTCTTTACCAAAGCGTCCTTTGTAAAGCAGAGGGGGGGGGGGTTAGGGTTTAGGCTCCTTGGCAATACAGGCGCCTGAGTAATTTGAGAAGGATGTGCAATATAGCATGAGTGGAACAGGGTAGGGGCTTACGAACTTTGAACCCTAAACCCTAGACCTTAGCTTACGAAGGCACAACTCGGAACCCGATAGGCCCGTTGAGGATAAGCAGAATTGCAAAGCCAAAGGAGGCTCGAAGTACTCTGAAGCTTGAACTTCTGAAAAGCCTAAACCCAAGTGTGTGCATATATATATATATATATATGTGTGTGTGTGTATATGCAAAGGAACCCGAAAGGGTCATGTCACTGCTAAAGACGTTGGGTTTTGAAAGCTCTACCATTCACAGCTCCACAGGGTCCTAAGTGTTGTTATTTGGGAAGGCTTTCCCAAATCATATTCCCTAAGCCCTAAACCCTAAAAAGTAATTCCTACTATAGAAACTCGCATTCTACTATATAGGCGCTCAGGAACCAAAGCCTTTGGAAAGCAATTGATGACATGTCGTTTCGGGTTTAGTGTTTCACTTTGTATTGTTCTTTATGCTTTCGAGTAACTTAACTACCCTAAACCCTACAACCCCAAACCCTAAACACCTAAACCCTAAACCCTAAACCTCTGAACCGTCTACCCTGAAGCCTGAACCCCGGAGTTGAGGAGCAGACGCTGAATCAGATCCTCACGGAGATGGACGGCTTCGAAGGCTCGATTTGGGTCCTTTTGGACCAACATTTAGTGCTTGAGGGCTTCAGGGCTTTAGGGTTCTAGGGTTTACGGTGTAAGGGTTGACTTAGAGGTTTTGGGATTAGCGGCCTAGGATGGGTTTACTTAGAGGTTTAGGGATTAGGGGTCTAGGATCTAAGATTAGGTACTTTGGGTTAGGATAGGAGTTGTGTAGGTCGGAATTCGAGAGAGTATATGATGATTGGACACTTGTCAACCCTATGTTAAGGCTCTCTGGCGGGAGTGTGCGTGTGTGTGTGTGTGTATATATATATATATGTGTGTGTGTGTGTGTTCTTGGAGGGGGGCAAGGAGGAGGAGGGTAATGGTTCCCTGAGCAGGGATGTCCAAGAATGTGCTTATTTACCTCTCACCCCGGGAAGAGTTGAGAGTTTTTGGCTTGGTGCTAGAACTTCCCTTGCGAGGGCCGGTTAGCCAAGACCAAAGCTTCACGGATTGTGGGCTCTTGGGTTTCAGTGTCTTGGGGTGGAGGGTTTGCAGGTTCAGGGTGGCATGGGGCTGTCAGAACCCGACAGGTCCATGTGTCAATATGGTATATGCTTCGGGCCAACATATATGCTGTGCAGGCGCATGGACCCTTTAGGTCTTCAGGGGTAACTGTTGATATTGGCATGTTGTGGGGCACGGAAAGTGCGGAGTTCCAGAAAGAAGGGTCTCTACTGTGGATGCGAGGCACCATAATCTCCAATATTGAAACTAGTATCGCTTTTCTCGTGCTTAGACATCCGGGCCCACCCCGACCCAAACACCCGGGCCCGAAGGCCTGTTGGATTGAGGGCCTCGGGATCACGGCTTACGGCAATCTCCAGGGTTTCGGGTCTAGGAGTTCAGGAATTTGGGGTTGGAACACCCTGAGAGTCCATCCATGTGCCTATAATATAGTATCTAGCTGGGCCTTAGCGTGGCTTTCCCTATAATAGCTGGGGGATCACCTACTATGTTGTAGGGCTTGGGGTTACAGGTAAGGCTTAGCCCAGAGTCCGAAGGCAACAGCGGCGTGATTGTCGTCGCGGCCACCAACAGCAACTTTGTTGCAGCGACAGAAAACCTAGTTTAAGATTTAAGACCTCACCCGAACTCTGTATAAGCCTGAATAACCAGCCATTCCTTAGTACCCCTTATCAGAATTGGAATAGAATAGATCCCCAAACCTTATTCTAATTATTCAGGCCCCTATAGCAACCCGCTAGAAGCCCTACTCGTAGGTGCTTCTGCTCCAGACCCTGAGCTTCTAGACCTTATGAGTAAAGAGCTAATGTGTCTTATCTCCATGGTTATACCGGTGAACTGGGGGGCCGGTGGCTTTGCTTTTAAGGTTTGGGGCTAAAGCCTACGCCCCAAGCCGTAGAAGCCCCATTATAGACCAAGAACAACCTTTATATGATGCCCTTATTGGCCATACTACCTCTATAACAACCCTGAACCCGAAACCCAACGAACCCTATACCAATCCCAAAGATGGCCCTTCTGATAGCCCATTATAATGACCTTGAGAAAGCCTAAACCCTAAACCTTAAACCTTAATCCGAGGCCGGATTGCCTAAACTCTAAGTTCCCTAAGTCCTAGAGCATGAAGGCTTAAGCTTCCTTCCAGTCGCATCTGGACCATCTAACTTCATAGCTGAACGAGTATACAGCTGAATGGTATACTTTGAGATGACAACATCTCATCACCAGAATCCATAGATCTGAAAGTTAGAAGGTATTTTGGGCTTCTGAGCTGAGCAACCAGGATAACCCTCATAGCCTCAAACGCCGAAGAGTAGCCGTTCTCGCCAACCTGAACTTGATCTTCAACATATAGGCAGTTCTCGAAATTAGGGTCCCTTTTTGGGTCAGTGAGGCGGTCCTTACCAAACTATTCGCCAAGCCCATCGTGCTTTAAGGTTTTCATTCTCGTGCTTGCAAGGCGTTGTCGACCGCTCACTTTGTTTAGCTCACCACTCCACCATTTAGCATCACACACGCTGATTGGGCGTAAGGGACAGGACTGGATCTTTGAATTCCTTACGAAGGGCTGCAGGAAAGGATGAGCAGACTTGTACTGAGAGCCGAAGCTTGGAGGTTCTTCTCTTTGAAGCCGCAACACCGTAAAACCAAACGCCCTACAAAATCCAACATCCAAGCCCCGAAACCGAAGCCTCAAATGCACTGGATTGTAATTCTGCTTTAAGCATTAGCGGCACTATCATTAGGATTTAGGGTTTAGGGTTTAGGGTCAACTAGTTTTACGATGTTCCTGATGAGCCTTATGAGGGGCATCCTCCCTTAGGGTCGGACATCCTCGACAACGCCCTGCTGCGCCCTGGACGCTTCGACCGCCGGGTGCAGGCCTTCGAGCAGTAATGTAGGGGCTTTAACAATTACCTATACTCTTTTGTTTTTTTTTTTGGGGGGGTTCCTTAATATCATTATAGTATATTGGGCCCTAAAATCCTATTCTAATCGTTAAGGCCCCTAAATTGGGCCTCAGATTTAGTGTTTAAGGTTTCAGGCTTTGCGCCTGTAACTTAGGGTTAGTACGGCATGGCATTTGGGAGCCTAATTACCGTGTTAACATGTTTTAATTGACTAAACGGTGTATTAAAAAAGCTTTTATACATAAATTTGAGCGGTTCCGGGCTTGTGCGCGTGTTGCCTTCCATGGGCTGCCTTGGCGAAATCCGTGAGGCCGCTCTTCCGTGAAGGAAGGGTTCATTGGCTACACAATACAGGCAGTAAAATAGTTTGGTTTGTGACACTAATCACAAATAATGTCCTAAACTCTTGTTGTAAAATGAGCATACTAAGCACGGACTCCTACGCAACACGCTCAATACAATAGTAGTGTTCAGACTCGCACCAGTGTTTTCGAAAATTCACGACAACATCGGCAGCAAGATGCATGTGGGAACTCACAGCAGCAACATTTTGTGAAACTGAAGCCCCAACTCTTCAACCCCAAACCATTGAAAGGTCGGCCTGCCAGATGTCAAGGGACGGGCCCAGATTTTGGAGGCCAGTACCTGGAGGATTTTAGCCGGACTCCAAAGCCGTCCTCTTCAGGGTTCAACATTTTAATTATGCTTTCCCTATTTTAGCCCTTACAGAGGTAGGTCATTCAGGGTTCAAGTAATTTAAGATACCATCTTAGAGGTTAATTAAGCTGGCTTCCGCTGGGGAACTTCATCTAAGTTTCTGGTTATATGTTTAACCATAACGGGGACATCTTATTTTACGGGTTTAGGGTTAAGGTTGTTTAAGTTGCGATTCTTGGGATCTGTGGAAATAATTGGGTTTCATTTGGTAGGGTAACTTTATGTAAGTTCCTGAACAGGAGTCCAGTTGCGTGGTGCTCGCTTTTCTGTCAATGTGGATTCCATAAGTGAGCTAGCCCTAGACCCTAACTCCTCAACCTTGAGCAGTGTTCCAGGGCGTTTGTTGGGTACTGGGTTTCCAGGGTGACATGTTTAGGAAAGGGTTTTGGCCGAGATCTCTTATCACGGGCTATGTGTGGGATGTTGTTTGGGGTGTAGCTTCTACTGCCCAATATGTATACATATGTATATATATATATATAGATATAGATATATTATGCATATATTTTAATGTGTTTATATATATATATATATATACGCAGAGCCATAAAGATCCCTCATGAACAAGGAAGCTTGTAGGGTTTAGGGTTTAGGGCTTGCTACAGAAGCCTAATCAATCACAACAGTTTTTCCCTTATTATAGCTGCCTGATACTGGAGCCCAAAACCCTATTCTAATTGTTCAGGCTCCCATATTACAAGGAAGTATCGTATTTACGGTAGGGCCTTGGGTTGTGCAGCGGATGCATGGGCAGGTCCACGTCAAGAACAAGATGCTTGGCGGAAGGCGACAAAAGTGTGTTTCACGGGTGTCATCCAAGAGTAGATAAGAGTCGGTTTTTAGGATTAGGGCCTTAGGGCTTAGTTTTTTTGATCAGGGTTTTGAACCAAACCCTGCACCGTAACCTTCAAACCGAACCTTTGCAGCCCAAACTCCCAAGCTTCAAACCCTGAGCCGTACCGAAGCCTGCAAGCACAGCTCCAGCTGCAGTTCTGAGGATGATTCTCCTGGACGGCTTAGTGATGATGGATCGATAATGGCCTTCGGATTCTCCTAGAGTGCTATATAGTCTTCATTTGTGTTTTTCGTGTTTCTCTGAAAGGATACTGCTCTGTGTAATGGATTTCAAGAGGGAAACTAGAAAGACAGCACAAAAGCTAGAAATTACGTAGAAAAAAATAGACATACATATATATATATATATATACATATGTATATGTGTGTATATATATATATATGAGAGAGAGGCTCCTTCAGGGTCTATTTGACGCTAGGATTTTTCTAATTTGTATAAAAATATTTAAAATAATTAAAATAATTCAAATAATCAAAATAATTATTATTAATTTAATTAAATGATTAAAAACAAGGATCCAGCCTTATTTAAATAATTGAAATAACTGAAATAATTACATCAAGCCCAATTAATTATTTCAATTATTTCAATTATTTCGAGTGGCCCAAAAATTGAAATAATTAAATCAAGCCCAATTAAATATTTCAATTATTTCAATTATTTAGATAGCTGGTAAATCCTCTCTGCAGTCATCTCCTTGCAGTAACCAAGGAAATTACTGCAGAGAGGCTTATACCAGAATTTGCCGACGAGCTGTTTCCGGACTTCCTCCAAAATCTTATGTGCATCATGTTTGTTTATTATCTTTAGCACATTTGTGTCATCTTTATCATCTTTGCTTGCCTGACGAAATTTGGTCCAACCCTCTCTGCTGACATTTCCCATCAGTAACATCAAGAAAGCAATGCGAACGGCTAATCGGCATAATTTGGTCCAATCCTCCCCGCTGTCATTTCCCACAGGTAACCAAGGAAATGGCAGCAAAGAGGATTGGACCGAACTTTGCCGACGAGCTGTTACTGGGACTTCTTCCAATATCTAGTGTGTATCATGCTTGTGTATTATCTTTATCATATTTGTGCGATCTTTATAATCTTTGCTTGCTCAGTTATAAGTTTATAGGTGTTGTTTCCATTCAATGTAGGTATGTGTGTTCACTTCTCCTTGTCCTTTGGTTCTTCTGGGCCACGAGCAAAAGAGAGGATTGAACCAAATCTTGCCGACGAGTTGTTCCCGGAACTTCTTCCAAAGTCTTATGTGTGTCATCCTTTGTTATTATATTTATCATATCTGTGTGATCACAGTGCTTGTCAACGTGCTGGGATTCTGGAGTTGATGTTAAAGTCAGAATATTGGAATCACAGCAAAGGAACGACAAAGACCAACGCAAAGCATCCAAGTGTACTATGTATGACTGTCCTGATCCTTATCCATCTGTTGGATCAGATACTGTACCTGCCCGCTTGCTTGTGATTTGATAGATGCTTGTTATTGCTAGCAATCCATTACCGGTTACATGATGGCAACAAACGGATTGTCGCATAGGGTATTTGATACCACCAGTATGGATGCCGGTTGATAACTCAGTCCTCCGACATGAAAGGAGATTCAATATTAAACTCTGTCTCACAGCATGTCTCAAACTTTTCGGAATTATGTTTGTGCAAAGTATAACTTATATATATTTAATAATTAGCTAGGGGTTTTATATTGCATATATAAAAGACTAGCTAAATAGACCCCAAAGGTATCGGGCTCATATATATATATATATATGTGTGTGTATAGTCTCAGGGTTCTGATTTGCGGGTTTAAGGTTTTTGCAGGTTCCAGTACAGGTGCCGTAGTAATTGGACTAGGCCTTTCGGGTGGGTATATATATATATAATGTGTTAAATGTTAGAATAGTTGTGATCAGGAGCCGGTAGGGACGGAATTAGGTCACTAGTTGTTCAGACTACATACCGTCAGGGGCGGATGCTTGGAAAACGCCATAGTTGCTCCACGTATATATATATATATATGAGCCCG